TCTCTCTGCCTTGATATCAACTTTATCATATTTTTTTATACAATTATTTGATTGATATGAATATATGATAGTCCTTTAGTCTTTAATATAAAACTTAATTATTGAGTTAATTTTAATCCTAAATATAAGACCTATTTTTTTATATTTATCAGTTTTTTTCTAAATTATTTCTATTGATACCCTCTTAATCATAATTAAGAGAGTGAGAAAGGATATTACGAAAAATGATTATGGTACTTTAGAAAAAAAATACACTTCCAGTCCTTAATATATGACCCAATTATTGAGTTAGTTTTGGTCCTAAATATAAGACCTATTTCTCATATTCATCAATTTTCTCTAAATTACTCTTATGGATATTCCCTCAACTATAATCAAGTAGAAGAGAGAGATGGGGCATTAAAAAAGATAATTATGGTGTTTTAGGAAAAATGTGTCACATTTCTTTTAATTAACTAACTTACCTAACTTCCTTAATCTAATTAAATTAGTTAAATGGGTCTTATATTAAGGATCGGAGGAGTACTTTATATTTCTTATAATTAACTAACTTACTTAATTTTTTTTAATCTAATCAAAATAATTAAATATGTTTTATATTAAGGACATGAGAAGTATTTTATACCATCAAAGTTAGATTCCCATATTGTTGATTTAAGTGGAAAATAATTTTTATCCATAATGTATGAATATTTAATTTATTCCTAATTGGCTGAAATTAAATCCCTTCCATTAAATTGAATCACTGCTTATATTAATATTGTCGTTTTCCATAAGAAACCACTCTATTGTATGTGTAGTTTGGTAGCTTCCAATAAAACAGTGATTGTTTAAAGCTGAGCAGAAATTACGGCCGGTTTGAACATATTTTCGATAAGTGCTTGTACACACTATTATGTGAGCAGAGGTGAAATTTTTTTTTTATATACTCTTTTTATATTCTATAATAACTATGAGATGCTTTTAAAAGGATCCTGTCACAGTACCAAATGAGCCCCTTAGGTGTGTTTGGTTGGATGGGAGAGTGGGGGAGAGGAGGAAAAATGAGTCCCTCCCCTCATTTAGTTAAAAATTTCAAAGGGGAGGGAAGCCAAAATATTCCCTCCCCCTCCTCTCATTTTAGCTCCCCCCAAATTAGGGGTTTTTAGAGGGGAGCTAAATTTTTGGACTATCATATCGTTATGATTTTTTTGATATTCCACTATTACCCATAAAATATATTATTATAAGATTTATTTCAAATAAAAATATATTATCCTAAGTAAACAATAAAAAATATAAATTATTATAATTAAAAAATATATTATAATAAAAATTAAAATAAATTATTATAAAAATAAAAAATTATTTAAATAAAAACTTATAATATTATAAAATTAATTATTTTTTATAAATATATTATTTATTAAATATATTTTAAAGCTAAAAAAAAGCATAGCCTAAAGAGAATAAAATTTCAATTTTTTTAGAGCATATAAAATTTGTTAATATGATTATTTCAAATATATTATTATATTAATTAGAATTAAAAAATACTGCACCAATTTTCTAATGCACGTATTAACATGATAAGACTGAATTCTTATTAAATTATATAATTTAAATTAAGATGTAAATTAATTTATATAATATATCAATAAAAAATATAAACTAAAATATAAGGGTAAAATGGTAAACTAATTATTACTATCCCTTCTTTTCCCCTCTTAAACCAAATAAAGGATCATTAAATATCCATTCCTCCCTTTCTTTTTAATCAAACCAAACAAGATGAGAATAAAACTTCCCCCACCCCACTCCTCTCAAATCAAACGGGCCCTTATTGTAAATATGCCAACTTTCCCAACCACCATCAAGCTCTTTCATCATTGCACACATCCTTCATTATTCATCTTTCCCATTTTTCTTTTAAAAAAGCCAACTTTTTATCAAAGTCCTGAAAGTTTTGACCAAAAAAAAGAAATGTCCTGAAAGTTGAAACTATAACTATTCTTTTATTTCCTGTTTTTGATTCAATGTTTCAATATTTTATTATATTTTAACAACATAGTCCTAACATTTTGATGGAGGGATTTTTCGTTATTTTAAATTATAATTTAAATTAATTTATTTCAAGTGATTTTATGCTTAACGAAATAAATTTATGCTTACAGGATTTTTGCCTCATAAAATGTAAACATCTGTTTTTTAGTTGCCTTGTAATTTTTTTTGAAAAATCCTTATCCTGTCACACATCTCTTTGTTTTGTTTAAACTTAGCTTTTCAACAATGATTTCATAGTATATAGAATAAATATGTGAGAGCCACTTTAACTCAGTTTGCATAAAACACTTTTTTAAATGCTTATAATGTTTTAGGATTTTGCATAAAAACACTTTTTTAAGTGCTTATAATGTTTTCTGAGAGCGTGTTTGAAACTGCATTTAGATTATAAAAAAAAAAGAGGGATGTTTCAGTCTTGAAAAATGCTTTTAGCCTGCTTTGGTCTATTCATTATGTTTGGAATAGCTTAAAAAGATAAAGAGCTTTTGACACAATTGCACAATGAAGCAGAAGCCAATTTTTTTAATGCTTATCGCTTATGTTGTGCGACCGCATCAAAATAGGCGCATGGAGAAACGAAAAGAGAGCATTGCTCGCTGGCTGACTGGCTTAATGCTGCAGATCCCCAAGTAGATATTGTTATTATTTATAATTTATAATTTATATTTTTTGCCAACATATTATTTATAATTTATATACGGCTAGTAAAAAATATTTATGATTTATATACATTTTTAGTTCACTAAGTATATTTAATAATGTATTTTTAATATTTGTAATTTTTTTCAATAATACATTTCTTTTTACAAATTTTTTTAATATTTCTGATTTTAAAATATATTTTAGTCATTGAATTTCACTTGTTCCTATTAAAATAATTTAAATTCATTATATTATGTAAATTTATTTTTTATTATTTAATAAAAATCATACCCATTTTGATAATTTTACAAACTAAACTTAATTATTCAATCATAATCTAAACAATTTTTCTATTTTTACAAACTACTACTGATAAGATTCAATCTAAACATAAATCACATTAGTTAATCTAAATTTTTTAAAAATAAAATTAAAAATAAGTTATTTTTTCTATCGCTAATCCAAATGAACCCTAAACACCTCCTTAATTTAGAGGAAAAGAGTTTTTTTTTACATTAATAAAGGTTAAAGTGCATTCAGTATCTTAAAATATTTTATATTACATTTAGCATCATGAAATATTTTTTAGATGCGTCTAGCATCCTACAATATGTTGTTTTTGTCTTAATGCTGGATGTATCAAAAAAGATTTTAAAGTGTTGAAAGCACTTAAAAAAATTTTTTAAAACGCTAAGTGTACCAAAAAAATTATTTCAAAGTGGTGTTAAATGTAATTAAAAAAACATTTAAGATGTTAGATACATGGTAAAATATTTTAAATTACTAAATATATCTGAGAAAAAATCTCAGAAATTTAACCCTATCAATAAAGCTCATATAGGACAATACATTCAGCGGGAAAAGTGGCTGTGTGGTTCATGTAAATGTACGAAGCATTGACAATGCTTGCCATGGGGCCGCTCATGGAACCAAAGGATATAGTTCCAAAACGTGGAATATTCTTTTTGAGAGGATGAATAATGGCTCGTTTTGGGGTTGAAATAATATTCTGCACTTGGTCTGTTTTCATGTTATTACAACTCAATCCAGGTTGGTTGGTTGGTTAGTGAAATGGGAAATCAATATTCTAGTCAATTCAGTCAAAAATGTGGATAGATTAACAAATTGAATATTATATTTTTTTTCTTTCTTTGCTGAGTAAGAAATGACGTGGTTTTGTTTTTCTAAAAAAATTGCAATGATTTTGTTTTGTTGGATTATGTGTTATTTATACCTAAATGTCCTATTTACTTATGAATGAAAGCCTTTTTTATTTGAATATTATTTTTTGCGTTAATTACGAATATTTTTACATATTTTATATCATTTTAATCATGACTGTGTTAAATTTAATTCAACCATGATTAGATCTTCAACCTTTGAATTCTCTTGATCCGTTTAATGAATAGTACAATTTTTAGCACTTACTTGGAATGGATGTAATATTTTTTAAAAATAGTTTTTTAATCATGATTTACGAAATATAAGATAAGCATATAAGGGAAGCTTTGCTTCAAATTATGTGTATATTATTATTTTATCAAAAAAAAAAAGAAACCTAAAAGAATATTGAAGAGGTGCAATTGGATCTTAGTTCCGTTTTGGGCTAAGTTAATTATGGCCATGTCTAGATTATTTCTTTTTAACTAATGAGATTAGGTTTAGCAGAAATGGTTAAGTCTCCCATAACGTGGTTATTTCAATATTTTCTATATGAGAAAAAGATTATTGCGACCGGCAGGACCATAGGAGTGGAAATAATGCAGAGGTCGATCTAATTGGGCTGGAGCAAGTCATCATTTTCGGCTTAGAATGTCATACATGGACCCAAGAACTTAAGTGTCCCCTTTTAAAAAATTTGGCCATAACTTCTTTATTGATATAATTAATTAAAGATTATAATAAAAATATGGACGTAATTAATTAATAAAAAATTTAATAAATGTTAAATAAATTTAATTTATCTTTTTTGTCATTTCTCTTACCTATAGTTGAGCATTTAACAAGGGAAACCCGACTTGATGTTTAATCATGTTGGATCTCAAAATTAATCGAGAAAGCATAGCCAACCCAAAAAAAAAGAAAAAAGAAAATCAGATGCAGGAACCAAATCAAGTATAGGACCTTGTGTAGTTGTGTATTTCATTTTGAGATTGCGTTTAATTGAAATCTCTATTAAACAATTAAAAGGGTCCAAATTTCTGGTCTCGTATCATTTGATATCTATTTTTTTTTTAAAAAAGTTGTAAATAATTACAGAACATGGCCAACCACATTTGAGATCAAGCACTTGTGGCAGGATTTGGTCATAGTTATTAAGGTTGGTTCACTGTTTCATTGGCATCATCGGGAGGTCTCGAATCAAATATTCTTTGCCTTGCCCTTTGTGCCTGCACACACCAACACATTCTATTTAACACCATAATTGAGATTTGTTTCAATTCTCTCTTAAAACATGCCAAAATCAATTATGAACCAAAAATCAAATGCATAACTTATCTCATGAACTACCAGACATTCATTATATTTTTTATTTCAGGATTGTCCTTTTCACTTGTAAGATGTGATTCATGGTTTTAAATAATAGTAAATTTGAAAAATAGTTTTCACTTTTAAATAAATTTAAGGGTTAAGGTGCATTAGATACTCTAAATTATTTTCTCAGGTGCATCCAACACCTTAAAGTATTTTACGTTGTGTCTAGCACCCTGAAGTATTTTTCAAATATGTCCAATATTCTGAAGTTTTTTTTTTTTTGCCTTAGTATTGGATGCATAAAAAAAATATTTTAAAATGCTAGACGCATCGAAGAAAAAAAATTTAGATCGCCAGATACATAAAAAAAATACTCCAAGGTCCTAGACGTGCCATAAAGTACTTTAAGCCTGGATGCAGCTTAACGCTAAGGATTTATTAATTTAACCACCTCTCCTTGATACAGAAGAAAAGGCTAGAGAGAGAGAGAGAATGGAGGGATTAGTTACCTGTGAAGACCAGTTAGTGAGAGCAGTGATTAGAGAAAGAAGAAAAGATTGGAGGAGGGAGCCAGAGAGGAGTCCAATCCACAGACCCTTTGATTTCCAATGAGCAAGGAAGGCAAGTGAAGTGCCCACAGGAACTCCCACCACATAAAATGCTCCGATGTTGACGTACGCTCCCACATGTTGCCACCCACTTCCTCTGGCCACTCCTGAAATAACAGCTTGGAGGGAGTCCAAGAACACCGACAGACACAGAAGAGGTGCGATAGATCCAACGTAGTGGACAACGTCGTGGTCGGAGTTAAAGGCATAACCCAGAAAGTGTCTGCATCCTAGCAGTGTTCCACTCACAATGCATCCCTCTGCCACTCCCAGTATTATCCATACTCTCACTGCTCCTTTTGCTGCTTCTACGTTCCCTGCTCCTACCTCGTTCGCTACTCTAGTGCTGTTTCATCACATCAGCCAAATATATATATCCACATAAATAAATCACATAATTAATTAAGATATAATATGATATAATGTACGTACGTGTGTTGTGTTATGAGTTCCATATCAGGAAGCCTCATAAGTGAAATACGGTTTATAAGTTTCCAACAAGCAAGTCTTTTAGGATGGGCTCTTATTTTGAACTTGTACTTTGTAACACAAGGCCATGTTTAATTAGTAAAGAACAAACCTGGCCGCAGCGCCAAGCCCATATGGTATGGTAAAGTGCAAGGTTGAGATTGTAAGGCTGATCACAGAAAAAGGGGAATTATATTAACAAAGAAAATCCAATATATATTCATAAAATAAAGAGTGTAAGATTTTGCGATGAAACCCACGTTAATTTGATAAAGACAAAAGTTGCTAGTTAAAAATGCTTACCATATAGATAAGACAGATGTCTCTAACTTTGGATTTGGAAAGAGTCCAGCCAGCAATACAAACAACTCGCATGCCCACCACTTCAGACTGGACAAAAATTGAAGTTTTACATCAAACATCAGAAACATGACGACAATATTCACAAGTAAAACCTAATCCCATTTGGAATAGCTGTGACTAAGTGATTTTGCGTTGTATAAGGTACGTAGTTATGTGAATGTGAGAGGGGTTTTGCCTCGTAAAACACAAAATCACTTGTTGTAAGCTGATTAAAGAGAGAACGATGCGTACCAAACCATAACTGCAGATGGAACAGCAAATCGAAAGAACTCTGATATACCAAGAAAACCCTGCTTCGTAAAACTGATCCTGGTCTTCTCACATGCAGAAGAATACTTCATGTACAACACCAGAAAAATCACGTTGAACCAAGCACAAACACTAAATGAGATCGCGGCACCTACAAGCCCTAGCTTCAACTTGAAAACCAGAGCCCAACACAGAACTCCATGGAAGCACAAGGCGAGAGAGGAGCTTAAAAGCAAGGGAAAGATCAGACTTTGAGTCTGGAAATATCTGGAGAGAGGCTTGAGAATTGCAGAAGCGAACAGTGCAGGTATGAGCCAAAGAGAGTAGGCGCGCGCTTGCATGGAGATCACTGGGTCTTGCCCTAAGAGTGGGAGTAATTTGTGGAAGAAACTCCAAAGAACTGAGATTGGGACACAAACCATAGAGAGAGAGATAATTGCGGTGTAAGTGTAGATCCCTAGTTTGTGATATTGTTCTGCTCCGAAAGCTTGCCCACATAGGGTTTCTAATCCACCTGCCATTCCTGACTGTTCCACATTCATATGAAAAGCCCACAATTTTAAAGCCTTAACTGTTGCTCCTAAATGTAAGAGTTAATAGAATGATTTGTTTTGAGTCTAAATATAATATCTTAATTCGTTTTATCTCCAAAAATTATATATATATATTTTTTCATATTAAAAATTTCTCATTAAGGGAGTAATTTTAAATGAGATATTTTAAGGAAATCAACTTAACCCATATTTTTTTTATAAATAACCAAACTAATTTTTTTTTAATTTTTTGACAAATTAGTTATCTAGTTTGGATACCTTAAATTCGACAAAAGACAGGAAATATATAAGAAAAATCCTTGTGATGTCTATGTATTAAGTGTCAGATGTGTGTGCATGCTGTTGTTTTATTCATGCACACACACACACACACATATTTGTGTGCGTGTATTTTTTTTTTTGGTTTTCAAAACATATCTGCACTAATCTAATGAGTAAATGTCATCAAATGGGACTTTTTGTATGTTTCTATACTGCGTTACTTAATTGGAGAGGTCACGAGCCATAGTCTATAGTATGTGTGTTAGATTGTGTATGTAACTAAACTTGTATATGACACTAAGCTAAACAAAAATTTATGGAATATTCATCATCATATTAGAAAAGCAAAATCATCTTATAGCATAATTTATATTAGTATTCCTTAGGGAATGCAGATGCGTTGTGCACCGGGCTACCTTTTTCTTCTTGGCTCTAAAATTTTGGATCCAAGTGCTTTTTTGTATTTTAAAAAAAGTTAAACATCGCGTTATTCAAATATGAGAATTATATGTTAGTCTGGTGGCAAAATAATTAGCATCGAGTAAGCAATACATACAAAAAAAATGAGACGTGAAGCAAATCTAAATTATATATAGGTTAACAATTACGCGAGCTTTTGTTTATATATCTCATGTAAATTAATCAAGTGCTTATTACGGTAACACGTTCTAATTGGAAAGACTGTCTCAATTAATCTTTTTTATGGAAATTACTGTATATTAAAACCTATGCCTTTTCAGGATTAAATTGAGCTTGCAGAAAGAAATTTTCAACACAAATTAACAGTCATTATAATATAAATATATGTAATACAACATGAAATCTATAAAAAGTCATGATTCACGTCAATTTTTTTTTTTGAACGGGAGATTCACCTCAAACTTTGTATAACATACAAGTTTACATTCTAACTATTATAACATACAAGTCATCAGTGAAGATCAGCTCGCAGCAATGGTGCGATTAAATATTTTGGCAATAACAAAAGAAAACAAATTATGCAACTTGACAACAAAACCAGGAGACACTCTTCCCAAAAATAAAAATTGAATTAATCACCAAATCAACAAAGGACAATAAAAGGATTCTGCAGGCTCTGTGTTTGATTTTGATCTTGCCATATAAATTATAAATTAATTAACATATATGATGGCAATAAAACTAACATATATATATTTATATTTAATTTGTACATGCATATTTCAAAATTTGTTTCTAATAAGGAATAATCGAAAAAAGAGAAAACTGGGAAAAAAAATACCCCATAAAAATTTTATTGGTAAGAATTATCAGATAAATTTTTATGCAGAAGTTAGTATCACCAGCAAATATTGTACCCACGAAGTAGTAACGCTCTAATTTATATCCACCTTGTCAATAAAATTTTTAACAAGGGATGTTTTCCAAATTTTTCCAAAAAATATTCTTCAATACTTGAAAACCAAACTTAGGCCAATATGGACACTGCACTAAAAATTTAAAGCTGATCAAGTAATGAAGTTTGGAAGAAAATGAAGAACTTACTAAGAGACTAAAGCCAGAGACATTGGTGAGAGAAGTGGCAATGGCGATACTGGCAAGAGAGAGTTGGCCCAAGTGACCCACCATCATCATCGATACCACCTGCACCAGATACTGCGCCACCGCCACTGCCACCATCGGACCGGCGATCCTTCCTCCTTTCTTCACTTCCTCCATCCATCTTATCCTCTTCTCATCATTTCTGATCATCTCACCTCCCATTGATGCCGCCGTCCTTGTTCCATCCATATCTCTCAGGTGATCGATCTCACTTTTCTACCTACACTTGAGAATTCCTTTAATTATGACCATATGTGAGCAAATGAATGAATCGATTTATCACTTTGGATCTGTTTGGACGATTTCTCATCCAAATAAACACACGCAGACACATATATTTTGATCCCTTTTGGCTCTGCCTTTGGTATCTACAAAGAGGCAAAACCTTGTGTGAAGCTAGCTAGCTCTTTTTCCTCACAACCCTTGGTTGCTTCCACAAGTGCTGAAGATATTATTCCATATGACTGGCATTTATACATGCTTTGAGATTTGAACATATGATGTGAATGAATAAATAATAATTACCATTTTTTTTAATAAGCGATGGAGGATTCATTGGTCGTTCACATTAATTATATATTTTTCTTGCTTTGCTTAAAATAATTATATTATATGATCACACATACACACATATATTTATTTGTTGAGTCAGAATCATGATTTTAATTAACTCAAATTTGTGACTTATGAGAGGGATGGATAAAACATTATTTAATATTAGGCTAGGTCCCTTTCTAAACCCAAATTTACTACTAATTAAAGGCCACTAAACTACAGGTTATAGAAAGAAAGACCTACATTCAAAGGCATGTCCCAGGCAAGTATAAATTTATCTATATGACTCGAAGGCATGTCCCAAGCAGTTATGAATTTGTCTATGCATGTTTGCTACAATACATAGATATATGTATGTATCCATTTTTTAAAATTTTATTATTTTTTAACTTTTTTTGTCAAAAAAAAAGAGCTGCTGATAGGCACATCAAATGGATGAATTAATTAAGGCATGGAATGTGGATGCAAAGAGAGTTGCTTGTGACGTTAACACATACTGAAAGCTAAGTCTGAAACATTTTCAAGGTGCTGCCTAACCCATAGGAATCATTGACTAACGTAATTTGCAGTCTTTTTTTTTTTCGCTTTCTTTTATTTTTCCAAGCCATTTAAGTATTATATATGTGTTTGCAGTGTATTAGATGTGAAATGCAACCCTGTGGAACCAATATTCGTTTCTGCTTGTACTAATTTAGCATCTGAAGCTTGAAACCCTTTAGAAATTAAAATTTTAAACTAACTGAATGTGATTGTTGATTCCTGTTATGCTTGGCTCAAAAAAAAAAAAAAGCCTCTTGAACTTGTCCTTGTCCCATCCAGGATAAGGGCATTCATGGGATGGAACTGAAAATGGGTCAAAAAGTTTGGCTTGTGTCATTGTTGGGATAGGTTGTCTCGATTCTATTTTTTTTTTTATAGCGGTTTCTAAGTTTAAAAAGTTCTTCCTCCAGATATTTCTTTTGAGATGAGATCTCCTTTTAGAATTATACTACCACTCACTCATTGTAACTTTTAGATCAAAACCTTTGATCTTGGTAAGTCAAAGATAGGATTTTACTGGATACGGTGAAAGATTGTGTGATATGTAAATACTCCTCCGATCTTAAATATAAGACCCTTATATAATATATATAAAGATATTATATTTAGTACTGGATGAGTATTATGGAGAGAGAATATAGAATCAGTAAGAGGATAAGATGGAATCCTTTGGATACAGGCTTTCGAATATGCTCCTGTATATACATGTATTCAATCACTGTGAAATAGACATTCTTCCGCGCATGCGTATTTCTCAGTCGTCCACCATTTGATTACAAAGAGTTTTAAATTATTTCAGTTTGATTTGATATTTGATTACAACTGATCAGATTATTGTTTTGATTGCAGCATTAAAAGTCCAAAAGAATCCAATGATAAAGGTATTGAGCAATCGAAGGAAAGCAAATGAGCTAGAAAAATGATTGTTGCATGTTTGAAAAAGGAAATTCTACCAAAGCAATAATGCCATGTGGAAAGGAGACTTTGTAGATACTATGATGAAGAGATCACATCTCAGCGTTCGGATCTCAAAGAATACAAGAAACATGAACATGCATGAATAAGAATATACGACAAGATAAGAACGAAGAAATATACACTACACAATAAACTTTGCTATTATACATGTGAGTTTGTGATGTCATTATTATATTTTCTATTTAGGTAATTAAGAGCAACATGCACGAACCTTATATATTACTTCCAACCTTAATTATAAGACCTCATTTATAAAAAAAATCTCCACAAGAATTGTATAGGTTAGAGGGCTAGACTATGATAAATAATTCTCTAGTTTACTCATTTACTTTTCGCTATCTATATTTACACTAGCACTCTCTCACAATAACAACAGTGCTTTGATTGAAAGATTAAGTTTAGAGAGCTATCTAGAGAGGGTTGTGATTGACAGGAGGCTGACCTTGCAGCAAATACATTGTATTCCTTCAAATAAACGCGTAAGAGGGGAAGCCAATGCGAATTAATATGGCCGCAACGTGAGAATTATGTTCAATAGGGATGCCAGCTGTCTCGCTAAAAATATTACTGCTTCTATCTTTAATATAGGACCTAATTATGAAGTTAATTTTGGTCTTAAATATAAGACTTATTTCTTATATTTATCAGTTTTTCCTGAATTACTCCTATAGATACTTCTTCAACTATAATCAAATAAAAGAGGAAGGGAAAGTATTAATCAAGATGATTATAGTATTTTAAAAAAAAACATGTCACATTTTTTATAATTAACTAACTTACCTAACTTCTTTAATCTAATTAAATTAGTTAAATAAATCTTATATTAAGAACCGAAATAGTGGTATTTAATGGGCCTAACAAGATGCTTTGGGGATTGTGTTAAAAAGTCAAATTAAAGTCATTCAATCGGCTTGGATCCCTCTCAATACGTCACCAATTAAGGTTTAAATTTCTGATAAGAACAGTACCCATATTTAATGTTAGATAATATCTCTAATATAATTATCTCCAATAAAAAAATTTATCTAGACCGGTTGTTTTGATGGGAGAATTGTAATTAAGTCCCAGTGAAGGGATTTAATTTTTCTAAGGTTCGTTGACCATTGAAGAACATATGACAAGTTTCAGTATAGAAAATGTTAACTATTTTTTTCTGTTTACTTGCCATTAGGAATTTAAAAATTTAGAGTAATTAAATTCTTTTCTTAAAATTTAGTTGTAGTCGTCCCTTTTTTGGATCGATCTGATAAGCTTTGCATCACTTTCTCTTCTATATAGTTGCGTCTGCCTCTAACAAATATCCATAATTTTTTACACCGGTTAACACAATGGACAGTCTAGAAACTAGAAAGAGGACTTTTTCTTCCTCTCTTTTTTTTTAATAAAAATAATGGCCTCTTTTTCAACTGGTTATAGAACTAACTTTCAAAACCGATTAATTTATGTAAGACTTGATTGGGATAATGTTTAAAATTATTTATGAGCAGATTTTACATATCGAGACAAAAACTATTTTCACATATTTACCTTATATTTTATAAATTATAATTAAAAAATTACTTAAAGCTATTTCAAACGGCTTAGACTGGTTTTAGTCCAATCCAGAAGGCTATTTCTCATCGGTGTAAATAACCAACTTTCTGCACTAGGACATGTCTTTGTTGTTTTAAAAACAGATGCAGTAAAAAATGGTGTGGACAATTTTAAAATTATGTAGAAAAGATAGAGACTTTTCTATATTTGTTTTTAAGACCAAACATAAATACTTTTATAAATTTATCTTCTAGAACAGACGTGAATAAGCATACTCGTTCAGGCCCCCAAAATAAACATCGATAGCTCTCTAGAACGACAAGCTCCTCCTGCAATAGTGCATATTTGAGTTTTCCAAGAGATAGAATACGATTAAATCTATTAATATCAAAAGGGTATAATCAGTGTTGTTAAAATCGGGAGTCAACTAGCTGAGTTCACCATGTTTACGTTAGTAGCTCAGAACATCGAGTTCACTCATTTATAAAATCATTTCAGGTTATAAACTCGGTCATAACTCGGTCAACATCTCCCTTCTAAGACTGAGGTGAGCGAGTCAGAAATCTGAGTCGTAAAATTCTAAAATTTGACCCCAAAAAAAGTGTAAAAATAAATGACAGTATAAATTTTTTTTTTTTAAAAAAATTTCCTCCGATCTTTAATATAAGACCTAATTGTTAAGTTAATTTTGGTCCTAAATATAAGACATATTTTTCATATTTATCAATTTTTTCTAAATTACTATTATAGAAACTCCCTCAACCTCAACTTATCATCAAGTAAAAGAGGGAGAGAGAATATTAAGAAAGATAATCAAATTAGTTAAATAGGTCTTATATTAAAAATCGGATGAATATATAGTTATCCTATTTTATTATGAAGGTGTAGACTCCCTTTGTGTTGTCGTATATTTCCAAGCTTATACCTTTAACTTTTCCTTCTACATCCAAAACCCAGCAACTTTTCTAGTGGTTTTTCTAGGTTTTGAGCTATTTGATACGAAGAGAAAGAGGAAGAGGAAGAACTTTGGAGTGAAAATTCAAGATTTTAACTAGCGAGAAAGTTAGAGAGAGAAAGAGTGTTTTTGTTTTCGTGAGTTCCATGCATCCGAGTGAAGATCCTCCCAAAACTCAACCCTTGATCATCCAATGGAAGACAAGGGGCTAATGGAAGGAGGTCAGAGTAACTTTTCGAGCCTTACTGAGAAACGAGAAACCAGGGACTGATTGCCACTACCTTCGAAGAAGCAGGAGATAGATAATGGTGGAAGAGACAAGGTTCAAAGAAAGGAGGGAATGCTTACAGGTGAAAGCTCAATGCTCCCAAGGGAAGAGGAATGGATGATTATAGAAGAAAATAGACCTGTTACGGTACAACAAACGCTACTAACATATAGAGAAGTGCTCAGACCGAGAGAAAACAAAGACACTGACCAGGAAGGAAGGAACCAAAAAAGTAAAGAATGGGATGGGAACCTGATTTTTGGGGACCCAAAAGACCTGGCTGAAGGAGTCATGGTTACAAAGACTGACTGAGGTGTGAACATTGAATTCTCAGAAGAGGAAAAAAGAAGACTAGAAAAACACTGGCAACAATCGCTGATAGTCAAGCTACTGGGGGGAACGACGGGTTTCATGCAACTTAAGAGGAAGGGACAGCTCATGTGGGGCAAGGTAGGAGCTGTAGATTTATCTGTGATTGGAAATGGATATATGATCGCCACATTTCAAGAAAGAGAGGACTATTTCTTTGCTCTAGAAGGAGGGCCGTGGATGGTGCAGAATCATTACCTCACAGTCCAAATGTGGAAGAGGAATTTCAACCCTTGGAATGAGAAAATCCAAAAGGTTGCCATCTGGGTCAGACTACCAGGATTGCCAAGGGATTATTATGATAGAAAATTCTTCTACAATCTAGGAAATAGAATTGGCACTGCTATTAAAGTGGGTGAAATGACCCTCACCAAAGCAAGAACTATGTATGCAAGAATGTGTGTGGAAGTGGACTTGAAAGCCCCACTTCTACTGGCTTACTCGGTGGATGGAAAAAACCGCAAAATTGAATATGAGGGGCTACAGCTTATTTGTTTTAATTGTGGAAGGTTTGGGCATGATGCTGAACACTGCCCATTGAAGATGCAACAAGGTTTGAAGGAAAGAGAGAGAGGAGAGGAAGGGTCCAGGCCGGAAACAGAAAATGCTCACCAGAAAGGAATTGTGGAAGGAGGGACGGCAAAGGAATACGGTGAGTGGATGGTGGCATAGGAACCGAGACATGGGAGATGTGCGGGGAACTAAGAAGGAAGGGTTGGAGAAGCACTGAAGAAACCTGTCAAACTTGAAATGAAACTAGCCACATCATCAAGGTTTGCAGTACTAGCAGCAGAAGAAGCTGTAGAAAAGCCGAAAGAAATGGAGGTGTCTGAAAGAAGACCTTTGAGGGAAATTTTAACCAATCAAGGGAAGAAAGAAGGGGGCCAAGCTGTTTTTGACAGACTAAAAAGATAGAATAGTGGTAGAAGGGAACAATCAAGGTCGGTAGAGGGCAGGTTGAAAGCTAAGCTAGGAAAGGAGAAAGTTAAGGAACCTAAAAAGCAAGTTCCAGTTGAGAGTTTAAGGGGAAACATGAAAGAGAGAGAGACAGAGGCAAGTCAGATGGGTAGAAAAGTGAATACCGGGGGATCCAACAGTGTAGAGGTATAGGAGAGAAAAGGGGCTTCTGGACATGGGTTGGTAGTGATTCCAGAGACAATAAGAAACGGTACTGTTCCTGAACCAGGTATAGGCTTAATTGGACTGGACTGTGGGCCCAAAGTCAAACAGGATGGAATGATGGTTGAGAAGATAATGGACAATTTTTTAAATATCCTACCCACGAATGAGGAAGGAATATTGACCAGTGAGGAAAACAAACCACCACACCTAGTGGACAACATGGAAATGGTGGGCCTACCTGTTGTGGAAAGGATGATTGGGGAGCAAGAACAAGAGGATTTGCTTTATGAAATGATTCAGGAGGGCCAGGGAGGGCGTCTAGAGTTCACCTAGGTTAGCTAGTGTGTTACGGACTTCTCTAGCTTATTATTTTAATGATTATAGTATAGAATGCAAGAGGGGCAGCCAGAAGGGAGTTCGGTAATGCCGTTAAGGAATTGAAAAGGAGATATAAGTCGAAGTTGTTGGTTTTAGTAGAGACATGATGCAATGGGGAGAATGCACAAGAGGTTATAAGAAGGTTGAATTTCAATCATCATGAAATAGTAGATGCTACGGGCATGTTTGGAGGTATTTGGATCCTATGGGATAATGATGAGATAAGCTTCAGAATGATCATAACTCACAAACAACTCTTACATGGAGAATTACTCGGGGTCAGGCCCCACCCTTGGATGTTCACAGCCATCTATGCAAGCCCTAGAGAAAGAGAAAGAAAAGATTTAGGGGAAATCACAAATAAAGACCCTCGAATTAGCAAAATCACTCAATGGTCACCTGAATTTGCTAAATTATCATGAGGGACCCGGTCTCAAATGGCAAATAGCAAATGTTGGTGAAAAGACGAAATTGCCCCTCAGTCAATCTGATTCATTAATGAAGGCTGAGACAAACAAAGTGATCGTGGAGAGCTTGGAGGAGAAGATTGGTGGTGCACATGGTTGAGAATCAAGTAAGTAATGCTTGTAATGTTTCTAAGTATACTCTTCTTCTTCTCTACCCTGTAAGACCGAGGAATGTGATGTTGTTCTTGAATGTGGTGAGTGGCATTGTGGATTGTTGGGTGATAGGTATGGAGGGAGTGAGCGGTGGAGTTGATCATGGAATAATACTGTTTAAGGAGGGTTCGGTTGGGTTGAGATTCAAAATATTAGTCTTTGTAGTCAGATTGTTGACCTGTGATTTTCATGACGCAGGTTGCCACTGATCTCTGTTAGGAATATCACGAATGGGAGAGTGGGGGGGGAAATGGAAGGAGGTAATAATTAGTAGTTTGAGTATGAAGTTAACGGTGGTGCAGTGGGGGGAGAGGAGTAAAGATCTTGTCATTTAGAATGTCCAACTTGTAAAACCCTAATGTCAAGTGGGGAAGAGAAGAGTTAGTTGGTCTTGATTTGTAAATGCAAATTTGATTGAATAAAAGTATAGTGAAGCTAATATATTTTTTTATATGTAAATTGTTGTTCCAGGTTAGGATGACAAAATGAACTGTTACAATGGGTCAAGCTGTTGGAAGGAATTGTTTTGTTTTTTCCATGTTGGTGGGTATTTTGAAAGAAACAGTGAAGGTGAAGTTAAATACGGGGAGGGAGTGTGAGAGCAAGCAGCATAAAAGAAGGGATAACACTGGAGGAATTAAGAGGAACAATATCACAGTTGGTACACAATGATGCTAAAGGGTGCGAAATTAAGTACACGGTTAAGTTTGCTGAGGGCACACTGGTTGATCTTTATGATGAAGGTGATATTTGCAATATGTTTAGATATAACGATAGCAGTGCTCATTTGTATGTAGCAGCGAAAGGGAACCAGAAGGAAGGTGGAGCAGTGAATGATGGAGAAATGTAAGTGGTTAAAGTTTTGCAGTTGATAGTTATTGTTCGGTAATGGATTATTGTTAATACCCAAAGAAATGTTGTTATCATGTGCACTGCGCAGCAGTAGAAAGTTGTTATTTGGTAATGAATTGTTGTTAATTTTGATATAAATCTTGTAATTAAGGTAATGAAGTTGCGATTGGAAGTTGTAATTTGGTAATGAGTTGTTACTAATTTCCATTCAAATGTTGTTATATTGCTTAGTTTGTTACAGTAGTAAGTTGTTATTTTATAATGCAATTGTTGATATTTCCCATACAAATCTTGTTATTATGCTAACTTTGTTACAGTAGAATGTTGTTATTTGCTAATGTGTTGTTGCTAATTTCTATTCGAACGTTGTTATTATGGGTGTAGGGGTGAGAATTTGTTTGGGCTGTCGGGAGAAATGACTGAAGGTGTGGTGAACCTTGGTGATAACTATGAACCACTCATTGTTGACTATGGTGCTGAATGCCTAACGTATGAAGGAGGGGGTTTAAGTCAGACAAACTTCAGTGACGGTTCAGGGAGTGAAGGGACATTGAGGGGTAATTTGAATTGCATGAAATGGGTTGGAGTTTTTGCAGGGGTGGGGCAATATATTCCACATGCCCAAGCTTTTAGGGAGGCTGTGTACAGGTTTAGTATTGCACAGAAGTTTGCAACGACATATGTGAGAAACAGTAGGGAGAAGATGAATGTGAGGTGTAAAGTGGAAGGGTGTCCATGGAAGATTTGTGCAAATGCTGTTGGGAGGGATACTCTTTTATTACGCGTGACCACATTCGTTAATGAACACATTCATTCAGCGCAAGATAACCTAGATGTCACTTTTGCTGGCAATGCTGCGTTGACGTCATCAATAATACTTGAGGAGATAAGGAACCACACCGAAAAGCGTCCTACTGAAATAAGGAAGACACTGGAAAGGGAATATGGTGTGAGGCTAACATATGCTCAAGCTTACAGAGCAAAGGAAAAGGCCATGGAACACATACATGGGAAACCGGAAGAATCCTATATGTTCATACCATGGATATGCCAAAGATTAAAGGAAACTGATGATAAAACAGTTGCTGAATGGGCTTCCATTGGTAATACATTTGAGCGGGTTTTCATTGCATATGGTTCGTGTATTGAGGGTTTTTTGAGTGGTGCAAGGGCTATATTATATGTTGATGGAACTCATTTAAGTGGTCCATATAAGGGGACACTACTCTCAGCGTCGGGATATGATGCAGATAATGACTTGTTGCCTTTTGCAATAGCAGTGGTGAAATCAGAGAACCTTGATGACTGGACTTGGTTTCTGTTCAAAATTAAAGAAATTGTTGGTTCGGTGCAGGTGACAATTGTGTCAGACCGACACAATGCCATAATAGGAGCTGTCCAAGCAATATTTGGAGGTGAAAGACATGCGTATTGTTATAGGCATGTGAAGGAAAACTTCAGCGCTGAACAAGTAAAGTAAACAGAGGTAAAAGGACAAGCCAATGGTCAAAAGAAGATGCATTAAAGGTTCTTGATAGAGTTGCTTATGCAAGGGTTGATAGTGACTTTGATAATGCAATGGCAGAGCTGAGAACTATGTCTCCTGAGTTACATGATTGGGTTATCAATCAAGGTGATGTGAATAGGTGGGCAATGAGCAAGTTTCCATTTAAAAGATGGGACAATATAACAACCAATATAGCTGAGTCTTTCAATTCTTGGATGGTGAAGGAGAGAAAGCATAATGTGGCGCAAATGATCCATGAGCATCGGGAGAAAGTAGCAAGGAAGATGCATGCATCATATATGTGTATGAGTAAGTGGAGGAATTGTGTTGGGCCAAAAACCGAGGCAAAGGTTCTGGAGAATGTGTATTTCAGTAGGTATATGAGTTGTGACAATTATGGAGGCGGAAGACTGTGTGTACATACATCTCGTGGAGATCAAAGAGTAGACCTTGGTCTACACCAATGTAGTTGTCTTGGTTGGCAAATGTCAGGAATTCCATGCTGCCATGCTTGTGCAGCCATTAAGACTGTGGGGGGAAATGTATATGAATATGTTGAAGATTGTTACAAAATTTCAGCACAGGAGAAAATATATGGCAGGAGCATGGTTCCAGTGGTAACAATCGATATGCCTAACCCAAATGACTATAGGTTTGAGAATCTTGTTGAACAAACCTTGCTTTTACCACCAAATACAAGTAGGCCTCCTGGAAGACCAAGGACTAAACGGCAGGAATCACAATTCCAGAACAAAAAAGTCTACCATTGCACCAGATGCCACCAACCTGGACACACAAGGAGGAGTTGCAAAAATCCCAACCCATTTTGAAGTTCATTTCTACAAGCGACAACTAATTTTTTGGTGTATATACGCTCCACTCTTCTTAATTTTTTTGGGAGAAGGGTGTTGCTAGTTGCATAGCTACACAGCTATTTTTGCAAGTAATATGTTTGCTGACAAGGAAAAAAGAAGTCAACGACGTTGTGAATGTCTTTTTGTTATTGACTATTGCAAAATCTGGTTGTTGTAAACGGACCTCTTACTTTTTGCTAAATGACATTGTATTGCTGTAAATTCCCTTGCTTGTATTGTAAATGCAGACTGCTTACTTGTTATATCAGCAAATAGAGGTTGCTGTCAAACCACATGTGCTTTGTGGTTATTTGACTTAGTATTGCTGTAAACTCCCTTGCTTGTATTGTAAATGCAGACTGCTTACTTGTTATATCAGCAAATAGAGGTTGCTGTCAAACCACATGTGCTTTGTGGTTATTTGACTTAGTATTGCTGTAAACTCCCTTGCTTGATTTGTAAATGCAGACTGCTTACTTGTTATATCAGCAAATAGAGGTTGCTGTCAAACCACCTGTGCTTTGTGGTTATTTGGCATACTGATATTGCCAATTGGTTAACAAAACTTGTTATTTCGCAAAGTGAAGTTGTCACTGGGTAAACAAAAGTGGAAAGACTGTCATTTAAACAGGAAAAAAATGAACTTCGCCGCTTCCACTTCCGAAGTTGTTATTTCGCAAAGTGAAGTTGTCACTGGGTAAACAAAAGTGGAAAGACTGTCATTTAAACAGGAAAAAAATGAACTTCGCCGCTTCCACTTCCGAAGTTGTTATTTCGCAAAGTGAAGTTGTCACTGGGTAAACAAAAGTGGAAAGCCTGTCATTTAAACAGGAAAAAAATGAACTTCGCCGATTCCACTTCCGAAGTTGTTATTTCGCAAAGTGAAGTTGTCACTGGGTAAACAAAAGTGGAAAGGCTGTCATTTAAACAGGAAAAAAATGAACTTCGCCGATTCCACTTCCGAAGTTGTTATTTCGCAAAGTGAAGTTGTCACTGGGTAAACAAAAGTGGAAAGCCTGTCATTTAAAGAGGAAAAAAATGAACTTCGCCGATTCCACTTCCGAAGTTGTTATTTCTAAAAGTGAAGTTGTCACTGGGTAAACAAAAGTGGAAAGACTGTCATTTAAACAGGAAAAAAATGAACTTCGCCGATTCCACTTCCGAAGTTGTTATTTCGTAAAGTGAAGTTGTCACTGGGTAAACAAAAGTGGAAAGGATGTCATTTAAAGAGGAAAAAAATGAACTTCGCCGCTTCCACTTCCGAAGTTGTTATTTCGCAAAGTGAAGTTGTCACTGGGTAAACAAAAGTGGAAAGGATGTCATTTAAACAGGGAAAAAATGAACTTCGCCGCTTCCACTTCCGAAGTTGTTATTTCGCAAAGTGAAGTTGTCACTCGTCAAACAATAGTAGAAATACTGTAACTTCATTCGAAAAAATTGAACTTCATGTATCGCTTAACCGGAGTTGTTATTTAGCATACTGAAGTTGTCAGATGTTAAACAAAAGTGGAAATAGTGTCATTTCATAAAAAAAAGGTTCTTCATATATTGCTTAATGGACTTGTTAATTGGCATATTGATGTTGTCATACGTTAAAGACAAGTGGAAATCGCATCACTTGAACACAATTTCAATGATGTCAATAAAAATGTCATTTCACCATTACTAATTGTCATAACTGGGTAGCAGTTAGGCCAGACAATAAGTTCACTACACATAATGATAACGCAGTAACATTATCTACAGTCAATGTCCTTCATGGCCCAAATTCTTTTTCTATAGGGACTTTCTCCTCCTTTTGGACGTTCGCCCCTTCTGTGGATGTGGAATAAGATTCAGCGCATCCTCACGGCATTCATTGTTATCATGGTTCACCAGCCACCACATTAGATCACGCCGAAAAGCTGCCACATCTCCCTGCAAAACAGATTCAACAGCAAGTTAATCTTACTTTGCCCCTTTACCAGTCACAACAATTAAGCAAACCACATCACCTGGGTGTATTCTAGTGGAAGATTGGGTTTCCATCTGCTGAGCCATATTAGGACATGCACCCCACAGTCCCTCCTAGGAACAACACCACCATGACAGTTTAACAATTCGAGAATAAATATAGGAAATCAGCAAATTACATGTGCAGTGTATGTATACTCACAAATTACTCTGTTGAGGTACATCAGGCCGCACAATTTCCAAATTTGGCATTTTCTCAGTCAAATCTGGCCTAACCATGCCAATAATGTCGTGGAACCTTTCTCTCTACACATATATCAGATATTCATCAACATCACTATAATTTCAGACAATAATAATACAATGTAATATGCCCAGGTGATTCTTACACATCCTGCTATGGCCATTTCCTGAGGGTCATAGGTGACTGCTTGCTTCTTCTTAGTTGTGGTCTTCTTAGACTGAACAGTTCCTCGCATGGAATCCAGGACATAGAACTTCATGGTGTTGGGTTCAAGGGCAAAGCAAAACCAGTGCTCACCAACAAGTGCAGGACCCATAACCAAGTCACAGTCACCTATGTTGTACCCGACAAATTGAGGAATTATTTGTCGTGCATGGTAGTTAGGGTCCCACCGAGCTGGGTCACGGATCATTAACTCCTAATAAAGAACACAAATTGATTTTGTCAGTTTGCAATTAGTTTCTTTAGACGGTTATTTGCCTTAACAGTGTTGTTACTTTATATACTACACTTGTCATTTGCCTTTGAGGACTTGTAATTTTCATATACAAACTTATCATTTCACAAACTAATGAAGAAACCTCACCATGAAGTCCGCATCAAAAATATGCCTCCTTACACGCCCTTCCACAGCCTGTTGCTCATCCACCACGGCCTTACAAACTAATGACATGACCCTGTTACTAACTCTGTTATTTCCCCCAAGAGAATGCAGCAAGCGTCGGGTAATATCTTCATCATACATTTTAATCAAAGGACTGACAATGGTTGAAGTGAGTTAGCATATGGGTTATGTTAACAAGTGATAACAAAACCCCATCACAAAAGCTGAGTATCACAATACTTACTAGTCGCCTTCATCACCTTTCACACTTCGGCTGACAATGGTGAAGAAAATGTCTTTATCCTCTGCAGGCCTCTTCAACCTTGTTTGTGCCTTCAACTCCAACCAAGGAGACTTAATTTTGTTGAAGCGAACCCTGCTAGATCTCCTTACTTGTTGTGCCTGCACACCTTCAGCTGCTGTCAAAGGTTCCACCCTGATGGGGGTTTGCCTCTCAACAGGGTCAACATATTTGACAATTGCTAGGGGGGATATAGTGACGGCTCTGTCACCCTCCGCATCATCACCTTCAACATTAGATGACAGGTTTATGGGGGTAGTAGGCGTGGGTATGTCACCCTCCATTTCATCATTGTCCTTCTGTGCACTCTGTCCCTCATCCTTGTCCTGACTATCTTCATCATTCTCTCCATCATCCTTTTCCTTGCCTTCCTCCTCACTTGTCCCATCATCACTCCCCCTGTCACCTTTCTCCTTGTCCTCCTCCTCCTCCTCTCTTGTCTCATCATCACTCCCCTCGTCATCTTTCTCCTTCTCCTCACTACTCTCACCATCACTCCCTCCATCATTCTTCTGCACAGCTTCACTAGTCTCACCAGCATGCTGTCTCTCCTCTTCATCGTCATCTTCAGACCCACTAACAATTGATGCGAGTGTCTCAGCAGGAGCCTTTCCTTTTCTCTTCCCATCTGCCTCTCTTGGAATGTGCACCTTCAACAGCTCCTCATCTACCATATTCATCAGCCTCTGATGGCTTTCTTCTATCCTCTTCATTAATCGTGCACGCAACTGCTTCAGCTCCTGCATGACAATGGCGTTTATCAATTTACTAGCAACATAATTATACCACATCATGATCTCACTATTGCAGATGACAAGCTCACTTTACCCAATGACAAGTTAAATATTATAAATAACAACTTCAGTATATGAAATTACAAGCTTACTACACTGTAACAAATTACAACCTCTCCCTATTGCGAATAACAAGTTCATCAGTAGTATAAATAACAACTTTGGTATGTCAGATAACAACTTTACTATATCAAATGACTAGTTCAGTTTAGCCAATCACAAC